TGTGAGGTTCTGGTACCTCACCCAATCGGACTTTTACACCACATTTTATTAAAGTAAGATTTTTTTTCAAAATGTTGATCCTTTGTGGGGGACGTAGTTGATGGAGTGGATCGTCATTGCCCATTTTCGCACCTGACCTGACACTAATGCAAATGGCCAGAAACGGATTTGGTCCAAAAAGACCTAGGGTCTAATTCCGTTATTTTCATGAGGCACGTTTTGGCCGTACCAAATGATATAAATTCTCTCTAGTCACATGGCTGAGGGTATATTAGCACCTTTTGTTGCTAAAATAAGACTAAAGGTGAATATACATAAAACTTTTTTTTGACTGGCTTCTTCGGAAAAGGACAAAGGAGCGTAGGGCCAAAATCGAACTAAGTGAACCTAAAACTCTTTTGTTCCTGTATGAATAAGGCAGCCGTGATTTGAGCCAGTCAAAAAAAAAAAAAAAACGTTTTATGTATTCTTAACTTAAAACCGAATGTCAACAATTTCCCCTTTCTCCTGATTTTTCTCACAATTTTCCAATAAGTCCTATAGTTTCCACATGGTTGTATTTCGACACACGTCCTTCGTTTAGGGTCGACTGCTATGAAATTATTCTTAGAATTCGTACTACTTTTGTATCCGCTTCGTTTATTGTTTTCCCTTTGGTGCATTAATTTCGCACAGAGTTTTTTTTGCCCATTACAAGGCATAATTAAAATTTGAAATAGGAATCAACGCAATAAAAATTCCCGTCAGCTCTTCTTAGGTTAAGAGTGAATAGCATTCATTCTAAATGAGCTGAGCTATTTTCACAATTTCAGAGTCAGTTTGACGAACTAGAGGGTTTTTTTCCCCCTTTGACGCACATTAAAGAGGCAAATTGATAAGAGATTCTTAAACAATAGCTTATTTAAATGAGACAAAACAAATGCAAGCTTGTGTTAATAAAACACGTGTCGCATATCGCATCGTCTCTGCCATGATGTCAATTACAAATGTAATTATTAGAATTAAGTGATTAAAAAAATAAATAAAACAAGAAAAAAAAAAGAAACGGAACTTTGTTCGAAGATGAAGTACAAAATGCATGAACCCTCTTTAGAGTTCAGATTGGTAAACCCTAACGCCTGTTTATGACATATGCTCAGGGCATAATTTGGAATTTCGGGGGGAAGTGATCCGTGGCGCCCAATAAAATCAAGATGTTCATCATGTTACTTTTGGGTTCTTCGTTCCCCAAAGGAACTTGGAAAACATTTTTATTTATCGGATATGACGTTTTAAGATTCCAAAAAATAACCTCTTCGACCCCAAAAATATATGCATGTGGCTTAGGGATATAAAAACAAACTAAAGGTGAGAATACATAAAAACGCTTAAACCCCAACACCCGTTTAGGACATATGTTTAGGGCATAATTTGGAATTTCGGGGGAAGTGATCCGTGGCGCCCAACAAAATCAAGATGTTCATCTTGTTACTTCGTTCTCAAAAGGTCTTGGACATATATTTATTAATCGGAGATAATATTTTAAGATTCCAAAAAATAACCTCCTCACCCCCAAAAAATTATGCATGGGGTTTAGAGATATAAAAACAAACTAAAGGTGAGAATACATAACACGCGTTTTTGACTGGTTTAAGTTATCGACTGGTTTGTTCATAGAGGAACAAAGAAGTTTTAGGTTGACTTAGTTCGATATTTTCCCTACACTCCTTTCTTCTTTTCCGAAGATGCCAGCCGATGACGTAAGCTAGTCAGAAAAGCCTTTCATATACTCTCACCTTAATACTTTCAATTATTGGCAATTATTCTGTCAATTAATTTGATATTTACCTTCAATTATACTAACATTTGATAGACATTCCCTGACATCGGAATTGCATGAAAATCGGAACAATTTGTCAGTTATACAACTAAGGTCCGTCGAACTAAATTCACTTCACTTCTGTATTTGCGTGTTTACACTTATTCATACGTATGCATGTAAGTGCATATTAATACGCAAATGTATCTATGCGTTCCCGTCATCAGCAAACTTTGATGAGTGGCCCCATTCGACGTAATATACAGGCACATACATTGATACATATGTCAAATATCCTTAAAACGCACGGAAAAGACATAACGCGAAACCATGACATCATTTTCAATGGAATACTCCCACAATATTGCCAATCCAAGTCATAAATTGTTGCATACGCTGACATACACACACACTGTCATATATATTTGTATATATATGTATATGGAGATAGTCAACATAAAGGAAGTGCCAAGAAAATATGTAACAAAGAAGTTAAATTCACACATATATTGTAGTGCTGGCAGCTGAAAAGCAAACTAGACAAGGAAGTATTGATATTTTTATACCCTCAGCCATATGGCTAGTATCCATCTCTAGCCATATGGCTGAGGGTATAAACGGAAAACGAAACGAAAAAGGGTTTCGCATCCTAGGTCTCTTTAAACCAAATTCGTTTTAGGACATTTTCCGTCTGTTTATATATCTGGTTGATGCGCACGATAACTCTCGAAGGGAGTATCCGATTTCATCCAAACTTGGTACATCGTAATATTATTATCAAACTTAGACCGAGTTCGGGGATGGGCAATATCGGGCCACACCTTCTAATACATCCACCACAAAATGTCAACATTTTCAAAGAAAATAATTTACTGCACAGACAAAGAAAGGATAATTCGATTTTGCTCCAACTTCACAAATCCTAATATTTGCGTCAGTGCTAGGTTTTGTGCGAAAATGTATAATATCGGCCCACTTATTCTGGTACCTCCTCCACAAAGGGTCAACATTTTAAATAATTACAACTCTTATAAAATTTGATGTAAGAGTCCGATTGTCTTCAAATTTCACCCATCCCAAAATTTATATTTACCCAAGGTCTGATGTTAAGATGGAATATATCGGTCCACTCCTTCTGGTACCTCCCACACAAAGGGTCGAGATTTTTTCACAAAAAAAAAAAAAAAAAATGAATCGATATTCCGATTTTGTTCCAACTTTGCAAATCCTGATATTTACGTCAGTTCTAGGTCTGGTGCAAAAATGGATAATATCGGTCCACTCCATCAAGTACCTCCCTCACAAATGGTCGAAATTTTGAATATCCATTAAGCTCTTAAAACACTAAATTAACAGCCGATTTCATTCAGACTTGGCACATCTCAATATTTTCATAAACGCAAGATCTTTTATAAAAATGGTAGAGATCGAACCATTCGTTCTGGTACCTCCCACACAAGGGATCTAAGTTTTGAATAATCAAAACAAGCAAAGAATCCGAAATAAACACCCGGTTCTCTTCGTATTACACAGGTCCCATTATTTCTACTAACTCAAGATCTGGTGTGAAGGTGGGATATATCGGCCCACTCCTTCTGGTACCTCCCCCACAAAGGGTCAAAATTTTGAGTATCCATGAAGCTCATAAAACGCAAAATTAAAATTTGATTCCATTCAGACTTGGTGCTTCTCAATATTTTCATCAACACAAGATCTGTTATAAAGATGGCAGAGATCGGACCATTTTTCTGGTACCTCCCCACGCTCAAGGAATTCGAAAGAAGCATCCAAATGCATCCATTCGTCTCCTCAAATTTCCCACAAGCAAGCAAGCATTATTGCTAACACAAGATCTGTTGTGAAGATGATATACATTTGCCAACTTATAACTGTCATAACTTGCGAAACAAGTCAGCGATTCTTTACAACTTTCTATATCTAAATATTTCTCTTAATCAGTATTCTGATATGAATATGTAATTTGTCGGAATTTACGATTTCGCATCAAATTGGATACGAATGTTCGATTTCCTTCAAATTTTGCACATACCTATATATTTTATCTGTATTAGATGAATTATGAAAATGGAATACTTGGGTCCGCTATATCTGTTACCTGACGCATATTTCCATTTTCCGAAAATTTGCACATATCTCATATAAAGTACAAGAAGTAGTCGATATAGTCCAAATCTGCCACGTTCATAACTCAAGGTTGATAATATTTTACTTATTTTTATCTCACCCTGTATATACTTTGTTATATATACTTTACAAAGAGAATGACGAGCCCAAACTATGTATGGTGGAGGGCATAAAATGGAAGATCCACCTGGCTCGTTTCTAGTTTTCCCTTGTTATTTTATATTTTCTTTTATTTTCCCCCAAACCTGTCATATTTACCCATATCAGGCCTGCGTGAATTACAGATGCTTCTTCTTCTTCCTCCTTTAATTATTCTCAATTGTAAAGGGATCTCTATTAATTTAAGATCTTTTTATGCTCAAATCGTGTTTATCTCATTCTGTATATTTTTGTAACTTAACACATTTTGCTTTTGAACCCCTTTTAACTGAAGTATGGCCAATAAATGCGTAAATTGATGTCTGTTGTTAACACACATCCAGCAAACCAAGCAACAACCACATTCAAAGTGGTGGGATTATATTGAACTGCGGTCAACATTGTTGTTCTTGTTATTGTTGCTGGTGCTTCTCTCATCAACGATGGGGCTGTTTGTTATCATCCATCCCCCAAACCACATAAGAAAAAAACAAAACAAACAGCCAGAACCATATCAAACATCACACAAGCTTCATACAACTCAAAGCAAGTGTGTGTGTGCGTGTGCTTTTGAGTCTCCAACTGGGTTTGGGCAATGTGGGGGCTTGTTGGGATAGTCTCATTGGCAACTCTAGTTGGGAATTTAGTTTTATCACTGGCACATTAATGCGACGCGACGTTGACTGTTGCTTGTCAACTACTACTACGACGACGACGACAACGACGTTGTTATTGCTTTTCTAGCTGAATCGCAGAAAACAAAACTGTTGCTTATTTTTTCCACACACAATTGACGTCGTCGGCGGCGGCGTCGCGGCTGTTTGGATGCCAGCGTTTTAGCGTTCAGTATTGCAGTACTTGGTTGCAAAAATCAAAAGTGGGTTCGCGCCAGTTTTCAAACGGCTCTCTAATGAATAGCATGTCGATGACCGGCTATATTTTCCGCATTTAAAAATTATTATTCAATTCGCATTCATTTTCGTTCGTCTAAGAAAAAGAAAATCAAAAACGTATTTTTGTGAGAAACCAAAAAAAAAAAAAAAAAAATTAACACGCTTCCTTTTTTTTTTGCTACTAACTGAGTTTTGAAAATTTGTTGAATACAAATTCGTTATTTTAATGGCCAGTGGCTATCTGTGAAGTGCATCTCTGTTTGGAAAAGAATATTTAAGTATATTAAAAAGGCTTTATTTTAAACAAAAGAAAATTCCTTATTCAAAACCATAATAAGAATTCCAACCTCGCCAAGTGCTAAAAAGTGAATTGAAATATTTATTTATTTTGTTTTTGGTTTTCTGTTATTGTGTCCGTAGACAAAGAGGATTTGTTGTTTATTTTCGTTTGCACCACCTTGAAAATGTTCAACAGGTAAGTTTTGCATTTAAATAACTAAAACAACAGCAACGACGACGACAACATCAAAGGAATTGTCAATAAAACATCATTTCAATTAAATTAGGGTAGTTTGCGGTTAGTACTCTACAACCCTGTAAACTGATGGCTATGGATATTATTAGATCTGTTTTGCTTCAAAAGTATGTGGCATTTTGAACTATCAGAGATGGGAATTGGAACTTCCTTGATTCGTTCGTGTGTTTGGAAGTCCTAAAAACCTAGAATCTTTTTCATCGATGGATTTGTTTTTGATGACCTTTGAAAGGAGGATTTCCGTTTGACATAAGTCATCGGATGGTTCTTTAACTTGGTACCCTCAAAAGCCCTTTGTTCTTTTTCGAATAAGCCAGCCACTGACTTATGCCAGAAAAAATCCATTTATGCATTCTCACCTTTAGGGATATATTTTTTGGTATTTTGAGTTCTAAAAAAAAATTATAAAATGGATTAAGAACGAATATTTTTTAAATTAAATATACATACAGCTCTTATTTTTATACCCTCCACCATAGTATGCAGGGTATATAGCTTCCGAACGAAATGAAGTAGATTGATAAAATTTTAATCAGCTGTATATTATGTCTGCAGGACTTTTGGTATTGAAAATGGACCATGTAGGTCCACGTTTTGGTATAGCTTCCATATAACGGTACCTCCCGATATTCGATACTTTGTTGATTTTAGCGACATTATTCACCGGAATTTTTTCAAATTTGGTATTTGAAGTTCGTAATGGATGCTACAGCCTATGACAGGAGATTGTCTGTGCAGGTCTACGTCTCGCCCCCATATAACGGTACCGCCCGATATTCAGTATTTTGATGATTTTAGCTACATCATTCATCGGAAATGTTTCAAATTGGGTATTTGAAGTTCGTAATGGATATTACAGCCTATGACAGAAAATTGTCTGTGCAGGTCCACGTCTTCGCATAGCCCCCATATAACGTTACCTCCCGATATTCGGTATTTTGATGATTTTAGCGACATTATTCACTGATTTTTTGTCAAGTTTCGCATTTGAATATTGTAATGGCTTATGACAAAAGTTGCCTACGAAGGTACACGTCGTCGCATAGACCCTAATATAACGGCCACATTCGGTATTTTTAATATTTTAACAGAATTTTTCGGTTCGGCCGGGCCGAACTTACAGCTTTTTTACTTGTTTTATAAAAATTGTGGATTATGAAAACTTCGGAAAAAAATAAAAAATATGAAACTCAAAGATTCTTTGGAAAAAATATTTGTATAAAATTTTACAATTATTCTACGAATAAATAACTAATAAAATATTTTTTATATAAAAAACAAGGATTATGACTTTAAAAAATATTTTTTTTTTTTTAAAAAATTACAACTCGAAACCATTGGAAAATTAATTTTATAAAACTCCAATACTTTTTAAAAAATTCTTCGATTGTTATTGCTTTGAAAAATATTTTTTCAAAAACGTTTTTTCGAACATATTTTTATATCCTCAGCCATGTGGCTAGAGAGGGCATATATAATTTGATATGGTCAAAACGAGCTCCTTCTGGTACCTCCCACACAAAATGTCAAAATTTTCAAAGAAAATAATTTATTGCACAGAAAGAGAAACGATAATCCGATTTTGCTCCAACTTTGCGAATGGACAATAACATGGACAATATCGGTCCACTCCTCCACAAAAGGTCAAAATTTTGAATAATTATAACTCTTATAAAACGCAATGTAAAGGTTCGATTGTCTTCAAATTACACACATCACAATATTTTTATTAACCCATGGCCTGGTGTGAAGATGGAATATATAGGCCCACTCATTCTGGTACCTCCCCCACAAAGGGTCAACATTTTGAGCATTCATGAAACTCATAAAACACGGAATTTATAATTTCGCATAAATTTGGATATAAATATTGGATTTTCTTTAAATTTTGCACATACCAATTTTTTTATCTGTATTATATGAAGTATGAAAATGAAATAATTCGGCCCGCCATATCTGTTACCTCACGCATATTTCCACATTTTCCAAAAATTATCACATATCTTATATAAAGTACAGGAAGTAGTCGATATAGTCCAAATCTGGCACGTTGTAATATTTTTATCAGTCTTAGGTCAGATACGAATTGGCAAATTGGCCAACTGTTCCGGAACCGACGATTTGAATAATCGTAAATCTAGGCTGGGAATATACATCTGTCGGCAAAATCGATTGATACTATTTTACTTGTTTTAATTCTCTTTAATAGTTTTGGAAAAATATTCTTCAAAACGCCCTATCTTGATGGCTCTGACACTCCATCACTATTTTTTGTCGTTTTTGAAAGAATGTATGTTTAACCCAAATCAGCTTCGTTCCCCAGATTCCAATTATTCAATATTTATCAAATAGTCAATCAAATCCCACTATTATCCCAATCTGTCAGAATATCGAAACTGAAAAAGTACTAATTATTTATTTGGTATGAAAACAAAACAACAACACTCGTAAAACACAAAAGCAAAAAAAAAAAAAAAAAAAAGGGCGAAAAAAACAATAAAAGCGAAAATTAACAAGAAAATAAACAGTCACCAACACTGAGAGTGATAAAAATAGGGAGGAGAACAAAGAGCAACAACAGCTACTGCAAAATAATGTCTAAATAAAGGTAATATTAACAACGTGCTGTGATTACGAACGATATAATATTTGTAAAACAAAACAATTCTCTAAAAACAAGAAAAGGCCAGGTCGACCTTGTTGTAACGTACATGGCTGTAATCGTATGAAGCCTGTGATTTGAGAAAATAGAAAAAATGCAGAGAAAAAACTTTTTTAAATCTACATAGATCCTGCTGTGTATTAGAAACGCTAGAGCAGCATCACTGTAGCATTGACTGAACATACCCCACAGTTCCTTACTACTTTTCAACCATTGTCACTCTCTTTCTTTTCTTTTTTTTTCCACAAATAGATCCTGTTGTATGTGAGAAACGTTACAGCAGCATCACTGTAGCATTGACTGAACATACCCCCAAATATACACAGTTCCTTATTACTCTTTCATCTTTGTTGCTCTTTTTCTCTTGTTAAGCTAATTATCACAACGTAGTCAATTGCATTCATATAAATATAGCAAGAACGAAAACAATGACACAACGGAGAGAGAAAGAGAGTGGTAAATAGAATTTGGTTTGCTCAGAAAACAATGGCTGGTATTCTAATAAGTAACATCAGTGCTAGAAAAACGTATTGTTTGCTTAGAAGAACTTACTTGTAAATTTGTCACAACATTTCTGCAACAAAAGGGGCATGCTCATTGGAATTTAAATAACAGTTGGGAAAAGATCAATTGCCTGTTCTTTAGAGAAATGCAGTGTTCGTTGGTGCATCACGAGTAAGAAGTTTTACTTGTTTTGGCTCTAAGTCGGAATACTATTAACAACAAAGAAAGAAGACAGCTACAGCCAGAGACGGCAAGTTAAAATGGCTTTTAAGGGAATTCATTGATGACAGTAGGCTGATCAGGGATTGTGCATTCGTTGTGATCGTTAACAAAGTATGGGAATGACCTCAAAAATCCATGAGACTTCCATAGATACGAAGCAAATAAACCACAAGGAGTACAAACATGTCATTTTTATATATAAAACAATAAAGCTGAGGGTTCGGCCGGGCAAAACTTTGAATACCCTCCACCATTTGGAACGAATTTGGCAGTTCTCAAAAACAATAAAATCCGTTAAAAATTCTGTTAAAATCTTAAAAATACCGAATGTAGCTGTTATATTAGGGTCTATACGACGACATGGACCTGCATAGACATCTTTTGTCACAAGGCATTATAATATTCAAATGCTAAACTTAAAAAAATAGGTGAATAATGTAGCTAAAATCATCAAAATAGCGAATATCGGGAGGTACCGTTATATGGTGGCAATACGAAGACGTGGACCTGCACAGACAATTTTCTGTCTTAGTATCCATTACGAGCATCAAATACCAAATTTGAAAAAATTCCTGTGAGGAGGTAAAATCATCAAAATACCGAATATCGGGAGCACAGACAATCTCCTGTCATAGGTTGTAGCATCCATTTCGAACATCAAATATTAAATTTAGAAGAATTCCGGCTAATAATGTCGCTAAAATCAACAAAGTACCAAATATCGGGAGAAACCGTTATATGGGGGCTATATCAAAACGTGGACCTACATGGCCCATTTTCAATACCAAAAGTCTTGCAGACATAATATACAGTTGAGTGAAATTTTATCAATCTAGTTCTATTCATTCGGAAGTTAGAGTGATTTCCACAGACGGATAGGCGGACGGACATCGCTAAATCGACATAGAATTTTATGATGATAAAAATATAAATACTTTGTGAAGTCTTAAATGTATATTTCAAGGTGTTACAAACGGAACGACAAACTTAATATACCCTCCATACTATGGTGGAGGGTATAATAAATATGTTTAGAATATTATTTCAATAGAATATCTATTTTCCCATAATAGAGGGTAAAAATCGTTCGAATATTGTCTCCACTTGCCATCTGTTATTTATTTGTTTTTTTTGGCTGCCCATCAACACTTGGAGATATACAGGCGAACACAAAGCTGTGCGAACGACAAACATAAACAACGACTGTAACGTATGTAATTCGAATAGTGATTTGCTATTTTCTGCTGCCTCTGTTGTTGTAGTTGTTCTTGTTGTTTTCATTTTTTGTTTTTTTTTCGGTTTTGCCTTTTTGGCGCAACAAGTTCAAGGAAATTACATGCTTTTTTGCTTGTCTTTATTCATCGTCATCGTTGTATTTTTATAGACGAATGCAATTTCATTCCGAATTATTAGTAGACATATTTTTCAAGGTTCGGGACAATGGTAATAAGAAAATGTCGTAATATTTTACAACTGTAGGAAGTCTGTGATTAATAGTTAGATATTTAAAAAAAAAAACATTTGTTATTAAAATATAGGATTATCGATTCTG